CTTAAAAAAAAGAAAAAAATGAAAAATATTTCAGTTCAATCTGTTCCAGCAGAACTCCTACAGACTGGGTGGCTTAAACAATAGAAACTTATTGGATCATGGTTCTGGCAGCTGGGAAAATGGCTCTGTGAAGGAAAAAAAAAAGAAAAAAAAAAAAGGAGCCACATGGCATAAGATAATCAGGAGGTGAGGGTGGGGTGAGGGGGGTGAGGGCAGGAGCCAGGAATCCACTCTGGAAAGTTGGTAACTGTCAATAGGACACTGGCAGGGGAAGAAGAGAGATGTATGCGAGAGAGAGAATTCCAGGGACCCCTGGATGTCTCAGTTAGTTAAGCGACTGCCTTCGGCTCAGGTCATGACCCTGGAGTTGGGGGATTGAGTCCCACATCAGACTCCCTGGGAGTCTGCTCCTCCCACTGACCTCTCCTCTCGTGCTCTCCCTCTCATTCTCTCTCAAATAAATAAGTAGAATCTTTTAAAAAGAAAGAGAGAGAATTCCAGAAATGTTGAAATGGGGGGCGGTACAGAACACCCAAGAGACCCTGAAGTAGGCGGAGGTGAGGAGACCAACAGCAAGCTTTTCCTCTGTGGCGGATGGGGGAGGAGTGTCTACTGGGCTGCACGTCTGGAGACTCAGTGCTGGGGGTTGGGAGCAGCCCAGAGAGCCCCCCCAAGAAGGCCTTGCCCCACTCTCAGACAACTGGCTGCTGGCGCGCCTATGTCCTTCAGTCGTTCCCGGAAAAGGGCTTCATCCTTCTTGATCCCCAAACTAATCAGGGCCCACACAAGCCTCCTCAAAGCCCTTACCCCCAGCTTCTTGCCCTGGACTTCCTGATCCCAGCCAGCTCCCTATGGCTTTTCCCCCAGGGGCTCCACCTGGAAGTCTCGGGGCCTTGGGGAGGGGCCATCTTGATCGGGGCCAATCAGAAGCTCCCCTCCATTTACTTGTTTCTTCTTACTGAGGAATAACTTTCCCAGTCTATTTCTTGAGATAAAGTGCCCAAGATCCCTGCTGGAGGCAGCGATGGCGTTTGTCATTACTGCTGTATACTCAGGACTAGTGCAAGGCTTGGCATAGAGTGCTAGGATTCTTCCTCTTTAAAAAAAAAAAATTATTTGCCTAACCTCTACACCCAACCTGGGGCTCGAACTCATGACCCAGAGATCATAAGTCGCATGCTTCACTGACTGAGGCAACCAGGCACCCCAAGTGCCACACTTCTTTTTTTTTTTTTTTTAAGATTTTATTTATTTATTTGACAGACAGAGATGACAAGTAGGCAGAGAGGCAGGCAGAGAGAGAAGAAGAAGCAGGCTCCCTGCGGAGCAGACAGCCCGATGTGGGGCTTGATCCCAGGACTCTGGGATCATGACCTGGGCCGAAGGCAGAGGCTTTAACCCACTGAGCCACCCAAGCTCCCCAAGTGCCACACTTCTAAGTGACTACAGTAAGTGCTAAACAATTTGTTGAGTGAACTAATGATCAAAATCGCATCATTTGACATTCTCATCAACCCGGTAGGCTGGAGTCTAGGGCAGAAGTACTCTTGCCGAGAATGGGTATCACAACTATTATTTTACAGTTTTCACCTACCCAATAAGGCAAACACTGATATCTCATTATCGTTTTCAATTTCTCTATTTCCTTTAGTCAATTTACTTCTCATTTCATTTCACTTCTTTCATCAGATGATGCTGCCTGTTTACCTGTACATGTATTGGCTGTAGCACTTTTTCTGGAGCTTTCCTAATCACGCTCTTTGCCCATTTTGAAAAGTGGGAAATCTGTCCTTGTTCGTTAGAAGTTGTTCCTGATAATTAAGCTGAGCAAGACCAGGTCAGAGTGAGAGGCTCTGGATCTTGAACACAGCACGTACAGATTGCTTCCCCTTTCCCACAGCTTCTAAGGAGCCTCATGCATATAAAGCCTGTGGGCACCTTGTGCGGGGAGAGCTCCTGGGATGAGGAGATCTGCTGCCGCTGCTAAGGAAAGCATAGTCTTGGTGAGGAGCAGGGTGGAGGGTGAGGAGGTAGAGGGGAGAGGGAGAAGGGAGAAGAAGCAAGGAAGGGAAGAGCCAGGCCCGGTCCTTGGGAGCCCCAGTCTACTATTTCTGGGCGCAGATGTGAATAGACAAGCTGAGGAGGGATGGGCTTCTGGGCCCCTCTAAAATTCTGTTTTCTGTATCCACATGCAATCATGCATGTTCCTAATTCCAGGGGATGCTACCACTGCCTCCCACCTGGTTCTTCTCCTCCAGCTCCCCCCCACCCCCCAACTGTCATGGCAGGCTGTCATGGCCACTCCCACATGCCTTTCAGTGGCTTCATACTGCTCTTAGAGATAAGCAAAAATTCCTTTAAGGTTGGCTCCGCAGCCCCAGAGTGTCCTGGCCTGAAGTCCCTCTTCCTGGCTCCGCAATAGGTCACTGTAGTGAAGAGTCTTTCCAGAAGTGCTGTTGTGCTCCCACAGAGGATCTGATGGATGTTGCAGAACAAGCCCCTCTCCGGGTGGACAGTGGAACTGTTGTCACTTGCAGTCTGGTTGAGGAAGTGTGGGCAGTGGCTCCTCAGATGGGTCGAGGGAGGCATCCTTCTCTTGTCCCCTTTTCCCAATCCCTGGACTCAGTTTTCCCCAGGGAAGAGAAGCTCTGGACCATACATTTGGGGAATTTCCCAATGACGGCAGCTACAGTGGTACACTCCAAGGATGAGGATAGAATCTAGACTGTGGCCAAGAAAAGATACCATCTAATTGCTCATTGGGTAAAACCCAAACTCTTTACCATGGCCCTCTATACCTACCTCTGATCTCAAGTCTTCCTATTCTCCACCTCCTCACTCACCACTGGCCACACTGGCCTTTTTTCTTTATGTGCCTTTAATATGGAGAGTTCCTTCCATCTTAGGGATTTTGTGCTTAAGAAAAATCCTTAAGATAAAGTGCCCAAGATCCCTGCTGGAGGCAGCGATGACGTTTGTCATTACTGCTGTATACTCAGGACTAGCGCAAGGCTTGGCATAGAGTGCTAGGCTTCTTCCTCTTTTACAAAAAAATTTATTTGCCTAACCTCTACACCCAACCTGGGGCTCGAACTCATGACCCAGAGATCATAAGTCGCATGCCTGACTGAGGCAACCAGGCACCCCAAGTGCCACACTTCTTTTTTTTTTAAGATTTTATTTATTTATTTGACAGACAGAGATGACAAGTAGGCAGAGAGGCAGGCAGAGAGAGAAGAGGAAGCATTCTGTCTGAAACATTCTTTCCCCACGTAGTCTGTGGCTGCTTCCATCATTTAAGCCTCAGCTCAAATTTCAGGGAAGGTTTCCCTGACCACACTACGTAAAGTAGTCCCCTATCCTATTACCCTATTTTATTTTTTTCATAGTTCTTGTCACCATAAAAACTAACATTGTTTTATTGCTGAGTTTCTCGTTTTCCACCAAGGGACATTTGTATCTCATTCACCTACTGCATCCCCAGAGCCTAGAACAATGCCTGATACATACCTACATTTATGTATCATGATCCTCATAGAAATAAATCTATCAGGGGAGGGGCACCTGGGTGGCTCTGTTGACTAAGTATCCGACTCTTGATTTCAGCTCAGGTCATGATCTCAGGGATGTGAGACTGAGCCAGCATTGGGTTCTGCACTGGGCATGGAGCCTGCTTAAGATTCTCTCTCTCCTTCTCCCCCTGCTCCCCCACCCCATACCCCCACTCATATGTGCTCGCTCTTTCTCAAAAAGAAGACAAAAACAATAAATTTCAAAAAAAAGTCTATCAGCAGAGATAGCTATAAAACAAATAATTACACAACTAACTACAAGTAGAGTCAAGTGTTTGAGGCACAGGTGCAGGACTCTTTCCCATTGCTCTGTCCTCTTCTGGCTCCAAGGACCATTCCTTTACCCTGAGGGCAATTTCTGCACGAGACCCTGGCTTTGCCTAGAAACTATTTAGAGCCCAGAGGATTCACCCAGAAATCAGGTCTCTGGAAAAGCGCAAGATTTCTACCTCCAGATCCAGTTCTTCAAAGTTTTGGGATCTAGGTAGGCTGGCAGCTGCAGCTGCTGCGTCCCTGTCCCCTCCAAGCCAGAGCAGGCTACAACATTGATTGCTAAGTTGTGCAGGCTCTGTGCTCCTCAAGTCCCTGCTTGGTTCTTTGGCAGCCTGGGGTCTAGTTTCCTCAGGGCCTTGCCAAGCCCTCACTCCATGCTCAATGGCTACGTGTCTTCCATGTTTGTGGGATGGAATGCAGAGACTGAAGTTGGGAGCTGCTTTCCCTGTGCCTTCCGCGCTTCCTCAGGACCTCCTGTTCCAGACGTTTCTCTCTCCAGGGAGATTAATAAATTTCTTCCTTTAAGAGAGACTTCTTCTGGCTGCTCCCTGCTCGGCGCTGTGTTCTTGGGCCTCTTTGTAACCCACACTAGCGCCGTTCGCTCCCAGGCCAGTTTAGTTCCAGGAAAGCCCCATGGGAGGGGGAGCTCCCTCAGAGAAGCTGTGAGGGTGCAGGCCTCACTCCAACTTGGCAGCCATCATAGGATGCTCCGCTTTGACTAGTTCATCTCTTCACCTCCGACGCTTAGCACAGTGCCTGGCACACACTTAACATTTAATGAACAGGGGCCGTTAATACTACTAATTCATTTAATAAAAAAAATTAAACGTGCCAGGCAATTTGCTAACGTTTTGCATGGATTATCGGTCCTTCACTTAAGCAGGTGCCATTACAATTTCCATTTCATAAATGAAACGGCCTCAGAGGAATTAAGCGACTTCCAAAACTCTGCGCTGTTTTTATTGCCCGAGATGCAACAAAGCAACGTAGAGCGGAAATGCCAGAAAGCAGGCAGCACCCGACATCGGCGAGCGGGTGGGAGCCATACCTGCCACGAGCTCACCACAGTCAGCCGCTTTCGCACTGGGTTGCCAGCCGGCTCCATTTCCGCGCAGCACAGACCGGAAGTGTTCCTGCCGGCCGCGTTTAGAGTGCGCACGACCGGAAGTTTCTGTCCGCGGCTTTGCGGGGATAGGGGAGCGGTAGACCCCGCAGTCAGAATCCAGGTGCCGAGGCGCTGGGGTTTAGGAGGCAGACGGGGCAGTTAGGGAGACCCAAACGGTGGGAGACAGGCCTAACCCCGACCACATCTGGACTGCCCTCCTCGTAGCGGTCTGCCTCTTCACCCCGCCTCAGTTGGGGCTGAAGTGGCTCCGCCCCCCGGCCTGAGCCTGGTCCCTTCTCAGGCATTGACCCTTGACCTCGGGGCGCTCCCCCATCGGGCGCGATGGCCACAGGCGCGGATGTGCGGGACATACTAGAACTCGGAGGTCCAGAGGGGGATGCAGCTTCCGGGACCATCAGCAAAAAGGACATTATCAACCCAGACAAGGTAGCGGGGGCGCCTGAGAGCCTTGGGTACTGGAAGTGAAGTGGGGAGCAGTGACACTGGGAGAGAGAGGGGGGAGAAGGAGGGCGGTGCTGCGCTCCTAGAGAGATGGGCGATAAAAGGTGTGACATAATGGGACAGACAGTGTTACCTTGATGAGAGGGGATGGAGGTGGTGGGACACCCATGGGAAATGGTGGGGACCAAGAGAGTGTGATACTCCTAAGAGATGAGAATAGCCAAAGAGTGAGACTCTTGTAGGATATTGGGGCAGGGTGGCACCAGGTCGGTGTGACGTTCTGAGAGAGGGTGGAAAAATATCTTCTACTCTGACAGGTCGGGGCTCTACCCCGCGAGGTGGGGTTGGGCAGGAATGACTTGCTCCAACTAGAGGTTTCCCTGTGAGTGGGCCTTCCCAGTGCGTCGTTATGTGTCAAGTGTGTATGCGTTATCATTGTACCTGTAGGTGCTGCTTTGTTAGGGATTGGGCTGGGCTAGAGAATTTTCAGGGAAAGGAGTCTAGGCTGGGGTTCCTATCCTGTGGTTTCTCTTCTCAGAAAAAGTCCAAGAAGTCCTCCGAGACATTGACCTTCAAGAGGCCCGAGGGCATGCACCGAGAGGTCTATGCACTGCTCTACTCTGACAAGAAGCAAGTACTAAAATCCCAAGCACCCTAGGTTCTGGTCCCTGACCAGTCTGCATGTCCCTATCTCCTGGTTTTCTCTTGGTTTTCTCTGCCACTTCTCTCCCTGCTGCCCTCCCCAGTCGGGGCTCCTGCTTGCTTAGTAGGATGTAGGAGGAGCTCAGACTTCTCATTCCAGGATGTGACTTCCTTGCTCCAGGGTAGATCAGCCTGGTCCCAAAGGCTCTCTGCACACCTCTGACTCTAACCTCTCATCTCTCCAAACTCTGCTGCCAGGGATGCACCCCCACTGCTACCCAGTGACACTGGTCAAGGCTACCGCACAGTGAAAGCCAAGTTAGGCTCCAAGAAGGTGCGGCCCTGGAAGTGGATGCCGTTCACCAACCCAGCCCGTAAGGATGGAGCTATGTTCTTCCACTGGCGACGGGCAGCTGAGGAGGGCAAGGACTACCCCTTCGCCAGGTTCAATAAGGTGAGCCATCACCATTTGGACATAGGCAACGTAGCTCAGCCACTCAGAGCTACTCCTGGGAGCTCTCAGCCTCCTGGGGTTGGCTCCAGAGGCACGGTCAGTCTTTGTGTCAACCACGGTTACTCACTCAGTCCACATGGCACATACCTGCAGGGTGAGACTTCATGGGTCTCGTCCGCCCATGGGATCCTGTCCTTTCCTGGGCCTGGTCTGGTTTTTGGTGGTTTCTCTTGGCCCTTCAAATGTTGCTGTTCCTCAGAGCTGTGTCCCTCTCTGTCTGTGCTTTCTCCCTAGTGGGTCTCATTTTCTCTGTAGCTTCGGTTGCCTGCTATATGCAAGGCATTAAGTGACCCCACTTAATATCTTCAATCATTTACTTAATGTCTCTTCGGGAAGGCCCCACAAGAACTTCAGGTAGGTACCCCTGAGCAGAACCCATCTGTTCCCTCTCTTCCTCACCCATATCAGTGAATGGTACCACTGTCCACCCAGCTACCCAAACCAGAAACATGGGAATCATCCTTGACATCACTTCTCCTGTAGTCTCTAATTATTTCATTCAACAATAGGACCAAGAAGGCAGGGAAGGATAGATGACAAAAATGTAAGCAAATAAGTAGGATTCTTTCAGATAAGAGCCATCTTATCTGAAATGAAAAGTAAAAAGTAAAAGGTAAAATGAAACCAGGATATGAAATGAGTTAAAGAGTGAACTTGTAGGCCATAGGGGAGGCCTAATTTAGATAATGTGGTTAGGATGGGCCTCTGTGAGAAGGTGGCATTTGAACTAAATCTCAGCGATACATCGAGTCATTGAGTCCACGGATTCTGTTCCCATAATAAACCATATCTGCCTTTGTTCTTCATTCCCTGTGCCGGCACCCTGGTCCGAGCTGAATCATCTCTGGTCTAGATGACTAAGGCTCAGACGGAGCAGAGCCTTACCCACACTCCCCCAGCCAGTGAGAGGCAGAGCTGGACTAGGCTAGGACTTCCTAGGCTGTTGTTCAAGCCATTATATGATACGGTGTCACAGTCCCTGTAGCCTGGAGCAGCCTCGACTTGGAGGCCCAAAACACTGGGCCCTGATCCCAGGGCTTCAAGTCCTGACTTTCCCCCCCTCAGCCCAGTGTAGCCAGCTGTACCTGCACTGCTCTGCATGGGTGGCTCACAGGCTTCCCGGACTGAGCACATCCGGGTGTGACCCGTCATTCTCCCTCACCTCGGAGAGACCTGGTTTTCCTCCATCTCACCACCATCCTCAGACCCCCTAAGTTCCAGTGGAGGGAGAGGCTGGAGGTACAGGATTGAGAAGGGACAACCAAGAGGTGAGGTGTTGAGATGGGAGGGAAGGTTGATGAAACAATTTGAGAAGATGAAAGAATGTTCATTTTGTATTTGGTAAAAGCTGCTTCATGCCAAGTCAAACCTTAGGTATTCAGAACACAGAATTACACCAGCAACAATAACTACCCTCAAGAAACTCTCCATATTGTTGGGGAGGGAGTGGGGAGAGGCACAGGTAATTACAGTCCAGTAGGATGCATGCTGTTTGGGGAGGACTTGAAGGCCATGGAAGCTTCCTGGAGCAGTTAGAGCTGGAGTTGTGTCCTAAAGTATGTCACCAGGCAATGTTAGGAACAAAGTGTAGTGACTTTTTCAGACAGAGGGCCCAGCAGGAGCAAAGGCATAGATAGAAAACCAGTCACATGTATGGTGTGCTGCAGGCGTTTCCCTCCTGAAAGCCCAAACCCGGGGTAGGACGTGGTGCAAGATGAGGCCCAAGAGGTCAGCAGGGTCTAGTCAGGCAGGGCTTGGCAGCCCGGCTCAGGAATCTGGGCTTGGCCCTACTATCTTTGGGTAGCGACTGACAGATTTTTAAATAGAGTACTGTCAGGATCCGATTTGAGTCTTAGAAGGATCGTGGTGACTGCAGGTGGAGAATGAAGTCGGAGTAAGATGAACTAATGATCTTCCTTCCAGTACCGCTGGTTCCTGGAGCCCCACTCTCAGTCTGTGGCTCCCCAGCTGCTCTCTTGCTCAAGCCTGAGACACAGGGGTCACCTGTGATGGTGTCTTCTTTTACCTCTTATGTCCAGGTGCCAAGTCTTGTGGTTTTAACCCAAAATTAGGTCTGTGCCCTGTTCCCTACCTTCCACTGGTGCGGTTTTAGTTCAGGCCTCTTCACTTCTCACCTGGGATTGTTTCCAAAACCTGCCAGCTGGCCTCCCAGGCTCTTGTTTCCCCTCATCTGTCCTTACTGCTGCCAGGGTGGTCTTTATAAAAGAGAATCATGATCATTTCACTCTTCTCTTTCAAAGTAACCTTATTGTTTCCTGTCACCTCTTCCCTGACCAACCCTTGTCCCCAGGCTGGATCAGGTGTCACTTGTTATACCCTTAGGTGTACGGTTGGCATCAAACTCGCCACACTGGACTAAATTATTTTTTCAGCAGACTCTGAGCTCTGAGAAGGTAAGGCCACTGTCTGTCTTACTCAGCATTTAGCACTGGTGTTCTCAGCATAGGTCTGGCAGGCCCAGGATAAATATATGTTGAATGAATGAATGTCTCCCTCACTTGACTGTGAGCCCCTTGAGAGCAGAACTGGCTATACAGGTCCTGAGCTTTTTTTTTTTTTTTTTTTTTTCCTTAATTAAATGGAATTGAAATACTTGGAAGGGATACTTAACCAAGCCTGGGAAACCAGAGAGACTTCCAAGAGGAGCTGATACCTGTAAAAGGCCAAAAGGATGAGAAGTTAACCTATGTAGAGGAAGGAATGTGGAAGTGGAAATGCACTTTAGGCAAGAACAACAAAGGCTGAGGGGAGCCCAGTGAGTTCCCAACACTGCTAGTCATTTGTTTGGAACTTGGGGCATGTGAGCGTGTGGCTGCAGAGAGGCTGGGTCACCTACTCCTGTGTTCGTTGGTTGATTCTGTAAATATTCCTTGATCCTCAGAGTGTCCTGTCCCGGTGCTGACCTATGCTTTTGAGGAGTTTGTGAATTAGCTAGAAGACACTTTTAGTATAGTAGAGAACTTCTGAGGGGTTTAGGAAGAGATGGGTGACATGATCAGATATTTATTCTAGAAAAGTGCTTCTCAATTATCTGTGATGAAGAGCTTAAAAAAAATAATTTCCAGTCCATCAGAGACTGACAGTAAGGTGACAAGAAAAGACAAAATACAAGTCCCTGGGTTTTTTTTTTTAAAACTTTACTTATTAGAGAGAGAGCAAGGTGGGGGGAGGGGCAGAGGAGAGGGAGACTCCCCACTGAGCAGGGATCCTGACACGGGGTTTGATCCTAGGACCCCAAGATCACGACCTAAACCACCCAGGTGCCCCCCAACCCGCGTGTTTCTTCATATTCAATTCAGTAGGATGTGATTTCTGTGAAATTGTCATAAAGGTTTCTAAATGCCTACTCTCACTTTCCATACTTAACATAGACCACTGGTACCAGTTTGCAAACAGCAGTGGTCTACAGGCTGTGCTTTACATAGTAGCACTGGTCAGAGAGATCACATCTTGGATGCAGATGGAGAATTATTTGGAGGGGATCAAATGGAGACAGGCTGGTGGGGAGGCTGTTTCTCTGATGCAGGCAGTGGTGGTGATGGTCGGGACAGGGATGTGGCAGGTAGAGATAGAGATCCTGGGGGTAAAAGCCCCAGCTTTGTGGAAGGGGAGGGGTGAAAGGTAAAGGTAGGAGTTAAAGATGCTTAAAGATGCTTTCTAGTCTTCTGGCTTGGGCACCTGTGTTGGCTAATGGTGACATTGATTTGAGAATTGACCTGAAAGAGCTAGAAGTTTGAGGGAGGGTGATGAGCTCAGTACTGAACATACACATATATTTCTTTTGAGGTATAATCAACATACAATATTGTTTGAGGTTCATATTTGTGTATATTGCAAAATGATCACCACAATAAGTCTGGTTAACATCTGTCACCTGAGCATATTAAGTTTGAGGTGTATGTGGGACCTCCAGTAGGAGAAGTCCAGGAGGCAGCTAGAAATAGGGTCTTGAGAGCAGGTTTAGAACCAGTGTGGTCTTTGATAGAGAAAAGGAACTTCCCTAGTCTAGCCTAACATTGACTCCTTCCTGGAGTTTCTGACTGGCTGGCTCAGTTGGTGGTGGTGCTTTTTGTCCCCGAGGAGGGTCTGGGGGTTGGGGCATGGCAGGAGGGAGGCAGGGATGTGTGCAGGGGTGCATGTGCTGGGAGTAGGATTCAGGCCCCTTTTCTGTAGAGAGATGAGACTTTGGCCTGCTCTGGGGAGCTGCAAGTCTCATTGTCGCCACTGGGTGGCAGCAGTGCTTCAGAGAAGGGTTCCCCAGACTCCAGCCTCCTGGGCCTTTCTCCAGTATTTAGCCATCTGCTCTACTCCAGAGTTAACCTTTGGACTCCACAGAAGCCCTTACATGTGAGCCCCTCACCTTAACCCTGGGGACAGGAGCATGTATCCTGTTACTGAGGCTCTGGAGCTGAAGGCATGGTCACATTGCTCCTGGGCCCAATCCGGAGGCAGGCTGCAGTCCTAGCCTGCTGGGGTCTCTGGGCAAGCAGTGTGTTTCCTCACCTGGAAACATCGTTTCCAGGCTGCAGTGTGCAGGGCCCTAGGCAGAGGGTTTGCTTTGGTCCCGCCTAGGAATGGGCAGTACACAGATCACAGGCTGTGACCACAGGGGGCTGAAGCCCGCTGGCCATGACGTGGTGCGCCCCTACTCTGTCCCTCTGTGCCAGTAGACTGTGCAGGTTCCTGTGTACTCAGAGCAGGAGTACCAGCTGTACCTCCACGACGACGCCTGGACTAAGGCAGAGACGGACCATCTCTTTGATCTCAGCCGCCGCTTTGACTTACGTTTTGTAGTAATCCACGACCGCTATGACCACCAGCAGTTCAAGGTGAGCTGGTGTTACGCATTTGCATGTGTGTCCCACCCCTGTGCTTGGCAGGCCCCCTGCCTTCATGAGACCTCGTCCCTGTGACTCTGGGCACTCACCATCCATTCCCACCTTGTCTTTATCCTCAGAAGCGTTCTGTGGAGGACTTGAAGGAGCGGTACTATCACATCTGTGCCAAGCTTGCCAATGTGCGGGCTGTGCCAGGCACAGACCTCAAGATACCGGTGTTTGATGCTGGGCACGAGCGGCGGCGGAAGGAGCAGCTGGAGCGTCTCTACAACCGGACCCCGGAGCAGGTCAGTCCCTGAAGCCCTCTGCTTTCATCCCGCAGGCTTGCAGTTCCCTCCCCTCCAGGTTCCGCTAGTCCTGCCTTGCTAGCCACTCTCCCCACTCCACCCCCTCCCCTTCCCTCGTGGTCCCTTGCCTCTCGGTGTGGCTCACGGATAGGCTAGTGGGCCTGCAGCTCCCCATCTGCCCCGGTCCCCCCTCCCAATGCACCCTCACACTTGAGGTGTCTCGCTTTCCCAGGTAGCAGAGGAGGAGTATCTGCTGCAGGAGCTGCGCAAGATTGAGGCCAGGAAGAAGGAGCGGGAGAAGCGCAGCCAGGACCTGCAGAAGCTGATAACGGCGGCTGACACCACCGCAGAGCAGCGCCGCACCGAGCGCAAGGCCCCCAAGAAGAAGCTACCCCAGAAAAAGGAGGCGGAGAAGCCGGTGCGGAGACTGAGTCAGCCCAGTTCAGGGTGCAGAGCTCCGAGGGCACCCAGAGCTGGCAGGGCGTCGGGACTAACCCTGGGCCCTCCCGCCACTGTGCCTCGGTCTCCATAACTTCTTCTCCCCCAGGCTGTTCCCGAGACTGCAGGCATCAAGTTCCCAGACTTCAAGTCTGCCGGTGTTACCCTGCGGAGCCAGCGGGTACGTGTCGCCTCCATCGCCGTGCTGGGGCCCTGGGCTCCCTGCAGCCTGCACGTGGCAGCCGTGGCCCTGGAGCCCCGGCGGGGAGGGTACCATGTGCTTCAGAGAGAGGTCTTGGGGTGTGGCCGGGCTGAAGTCAAAGCTCTTGCTCTGTTCTACAGAGCTCCCTCCAAGGGTTCACTTCTCTCCCGCTCCCCTTACCTTTGGTCCCCGTTGTCCTTAACCACTCGTCGGGGAGAGGGCTTAGTATCCTGGGTCATTGCAGATGAAGCTGCCAAGCTCCGTGGGACAGAAGAAGATCAAGGCCCTGGAGCAGATGCTGCTGGAGCTTGGTGTGGGTGAGTGGGGACTGGGCCCATGGGACTTGGCCGCCTGTGGCTCGTGATCAAGGCTGGGCGGGGAAGGGCACTTCTCGTCGCTGGCCTTCCCACACACCCTGGCTCTGCCTGTGCCCTCCACCCACCGCCTGCAGAGCTGAGCCCGACGCCCACGGAGGAGCTGGTGCACATGTTCAACGAGCTGCGGAGTGACCTGGTGCTACTCTACGAGCTCAAGCAGGCCTGCGCCAACTGCGAGTACGAGCTACAGATGCTGCGGCACCGGCACGAGGCCCTGGCCCGGGCCGGTGTGCTTGGCCCTGCCACGCCAGCGTCCGGCCCAGCTCCAGCCTCTGCGGAGCCGGCAGTGCCTGACCCCGGTCTCGGCCCCGACCCCACCAAGGACACCATCATTGATGTGGTGGGCGCGCCCCTCACGCCCAATTCGGTAAGAGCCCAGTTGGGCAGGGGGAGCGCGAACGGCCGGCCCCGCTCCCTCCGATGCCCGCAGTTACTGTGACGGGGTTCTGAGACTGAGGGCAGGACTGGGTGGCCGTGGGCATCACCCGCCCCGAGTGTGAAATACATGCACCGAGCCCGAGCAGAGCTTGGGGGACCATTGACTCCATTGCCTTCTGTGTCTTCTCAGAGGAAGCGACGGGAATCAGCCTCCAGTTCCTCTTCTGTGAAGAAAGCCAAGAAGCCATGAGAGGCCACAGTGGGTGCGGGTGCTGCTGTGTAAATAGAGCTGCTGAGTCGGACTGGGCTGCTTCCTTTTCCTTCCCACCCCTGGCTAGGGGGGCGGGGGGGTGCGGTCATCACACCCACTCGACAGGGGTGGCCTTGGGACCTGCCTGTGTGGATGCCCCGAGCAGCCTTCTCACCACTGCCAGTGTTGCCCAAACATCTGTACTTGGTTCTGCTCTCAAGATGGCTCACACATAGCGATGGCTTCAGATACCAGCCACTTCAAACACTGCCTTGTGCTTATTCAGGGAGGGTCTCACATGTGCTCCAGTGACTGCCAGCCACTCCGGTGGCCTTCAGCCCCAGAGCAGCCTGGAACACACGCTAACCCCTGTGCACCCTGGACGGCATCAGGCATAGCAGCGCCCGGTCCACACACACCCACAGCCTCGTTTCCCCGACTTTATTCAGTGGCACGTTCACAGCGGGGATGGGGGTAGACACAAGGTGGGGCCTGATCTGTCCTGGAGCCCTGGGGGCACCACACACCATGCACTACAGATGGGAGGGGGCACAGGGGGGCTCGGTGGCCCCAGCAGAAGCCTGTGTACCAGGGAAGAGGCGGTGAGTGCCTGGGTCCCCCTAGCCCAGGCCCACAATGGGAGGGGCTAATACTGGGCTAAGGTTGAGGGATTGGGGTGGGGGGCACAAAGTGTCTGCTCCAGAGGGGCCGATTGGCCAAGCCCTTACCCAGGGCACAAGCCCACAGGGCAGGCTGGGGGACACTCTGGATGTAGAGCTGTGCCACTCTCCCTTTTCCCCTCTGGTGAGGGAAAGGAGGGTTCTGGGCTGGGCCAAGCAGCTACCCTGTCCTGCCCCATCCCGTCCTCGGCCAATCAGAACGGCTTTGATGTCTGCTTGAAGATGAAGCCTTGATACGCAAGTGTCTTCATGATGTTGGCAATGTTCTTGCAGTCATCTGAAAAAAGAAAGAGCACATTTAGATGGGGCCCAGATCCTTCCCCCCTGTGCCCACAGGTGCTCTTACATGGCTGGGGGAGGGGAGCAGGGTCAGATTCAGGAGCCACAGGCTCTTAACCAGGGGGTCCTGTCCCCTGGTGGAGGCATCTCCAGCCTCACGTTGGGCTGGATGAGGCTGGGCCAGCAGGAAGCATGATCTCAATGCTGCTCGGTCCCATAATTCATGCTGGAAATTGGCCGGCATGTCCCGCCCCAGCCCCAGCGGTGATGTATGGGTGCCGTCGCAGTAAGAAAAAGGCAGAGTAAATGTGTAATTTCTCCCTTGACGGCCCCCGGCCGCTGGGCGATCCTTCTTGTTGCCGCCGCGTGGGGACGGCCTGTCCGCCACACTCCGTCTTCCCGCCACCCGCCTTGATGTCTCCATTTCATTACTGTGCGGCCATTCATCACGCCCACGGCCAGGGTGACTTTGCCGGCACTTGTGTGTGTGTGTGTGTGTGTGTGTGTGTGTGTGTGAGAGAGAGAGAGAGAGAGAGAGAGAGAGAGAGATGTGGCCCAGGCCATAATGGCTGGTAATGAAGCACAGGCCTTGGCACTTTTGGGCCAGGAGCCTGGGAAGCCCGCTCTGGGCCCCAGGCTTATGCGCTCCCAACAGCAGCCTGCCTGGGCCCCTTCTCCTGTGGAGCCCAGAGCAGTAGAGACGGTCCAGGTCTGCAGTCCTCCCACATCCTGGCCCGCAATCCTCCACTAGACGTGCCTGTGTGCTCCGCCTAAGCTCTGCTTCTCCCACCCCACTAGGCTTGAAGCTGGTGCCGGTCAGGCTTCAGTAGTCCTGTCTCTGGCTGTATCTAAGTACATCTGCTCCAGCCAGACCCTGTCACGGCAGTTTCTCCACTACTGATCCCTGTGAGAAACTCCTGGAACCCTGGCGGCTGCAGGAGCAGGTACTCTGGGCCTTCAGTATCATGGACACCCGCCAGGACTTGTTCTAATGCCACCAGCAGGAGGTGCAGCTGCCCAACACTCGTCCCTCTACAGAAAGCCAGGGACGGAAATACCCAAGTGGCCAGAGTTTTTCTGTTCCACTGCCAACAACACCAGTCTGCTCCCCATCCCTTCGCGTGCCTGTCCTCCCACCCCTCTCCCACCTCCTACAGATGCTCCTGGGCCATAACCAGGACCTCAGCCGCTACCAGCCCTCATGGGATCGATGCTGTGATTGCAGAAGCATTATACTTCGATGTCATAATCAGGTGCGGGGCGGTGGTAAGGTCAAGGTGGGGTCAGGAGGCCTCTGCATCTGTCAAGGGCCAACTCCTTCCACTGAGCCCTTCAGCCTGCCCTATCTAAAACCTTAGACTAGGAAACAGGGCCCAACGGAGCTAGAGAAGGGCTGAGGGAGGGGAGTCGGCCGGCCCAGGTCCCATGTCATTAGCCAGACACGACTCTGAGCCCTGTTTGGGGCAGACCAGTCGAACACGGTCCTCTTTAGCCGACCTCAACATGAACATACTCAAGGGGGATACGCACATGTAAAAGTGATACAGGACCCAGACACGGGGACACCCTTTTCCTCCAGGGACTCAAGAAGCCATGAGGGCTGGTCTGAGGCAGGACAGTGGGAAGACAGATGGGTGGGTAGTGGCGGCCATGGCAACTCCAGACGTGACCCGTCCCCGTGGTTTATGGGCCGGACACGCACCCCGCTCAGCTGAGGCCCCGTCATTTGTCTCCCTTAGTGTGTATGCCTGTGCTGTGGGGGTAGAAGGTGGAGGGAGGGGGCTGCGACAGGAGTGAGGCAGCTGAAAGGAAGGAGAAGGGGGCAGGAAGATCTGTGTAGGAGGGGCAGGCTGGAGATGGGGCAGGAAGGGCCCTGGGAGCAGGAGGGTTTAAGATAGGGTCCAGAGGCTGTGATGGCACCGTCAAAAGGTGCTACGATAGGGTGATTTTCTTCCCAAAGATGTCTGGCCTTGTCAGGGCACCTCCAATCCTTCCTGTCTCCTGCACTCTGGGGACCATGGCCGCTGTGCATATTAAGAATAAGTCCCCTCGTTATCTGCAATTACCCAGCGGCCACACACCTCATTTCTTCCAGCAGAAAAGAAAATTAGTTTTCTATTGACTTCATCTGGCTCCTCCCTCATTGCTGGACAAATCGCTCAATCTGCCTCCCCTGGCCCAAGTGAATGTGCCCAGCCCCTCCCCCCAGGCCACCAGCCATCCAGAGAGCCAGCACTGACCTCCCACCTGTGCCTGGCCCCAGTCAGTCCTTGACCTCTCCCCACTGGACACACTGGCTGGCTTCGTCCACGCCCTGAGCTTCAGCGAGCCCTGAAGATCGCCATCTCCTGCCTGCACTTCTCCTGAGCTCTGGAACATCTCTTTCTAGATCATGTAAACTCAAAACATCCAGTAATGCACCAATGTCCTTCCCACATGTCTTCACTACCTAGTGTTCTCCATCCCAATGAACAGTAACCCAAGTGCTCCCAAAGAAGCCTGAGAATCGGGCTTGACACTTTGCCCTCTCCCTCCCCAGTTCTCAAGCATCAACTGTGAATTTTATCTTCTCACTGTTTAATCGTCTACTTCCCTTCATTCTGGCAGCACCCCCACCCGACCCCCACCGCCCAGGGCAGACCCCATCATCTCTTGCTCTTACACAGCCTCTCCTCTTTCTTCTCCCTCTAATCCATTCTCTTGTAGCCCAAGTGATCTTTCTTACACAAATCTGATCACATCCTTGTCTCTTTAAATCCTTTCAATGGCGCCTGCTGCCCTCAGGTTCAAGGCTATACTCTTTAATATGACTTAAAGGTAAAGGCCCTATAAAAAACGGGTCCCCGCTCTCTGGTCTCACCTCTGCCATTCTCTGCCCCCAATCCCTGTCTTCCAATCTCCAGGACCCACTGTTTTCTGAAAATGACACAGATAGACCCATTTCTAGTCTTTGCCCACTGGCTGTGTGCTTGTGGCAAGTGCTTAAGTTTCTTTGAAGTTCAGATTCCGCCACTAGGGGTGACCAGGGATGCTACCTGTGTTAACTGTGAGCACTGAGCAGGTGACACCGCTCCACACCCCTCCGTCTTTGTTGGTACTTTAGGTTTGGAGTACTTCCTCTTTTTGGAGGGAAGGCAAGGATGCTAGTTTCCCGGGTGACCCGACGGCGAGAAGGTAAATCCCGTACAATCTATGGCGCAGATGACAGAGAGGCCAGCACACGTGCTGAGATCAACTGGCATTCACTGCACAAGCTCACACTGACTACTGATCCTGTTTACTGAGCATTCTGGAGTCTAACTTGTTGTAACTGGTCCACTACAACAAAGACCCAGACTGGGGAAGACACCTGCTTCAGTTCCCCAAGTCCGCAGTATGGCAGTTGTGGGCTTCCAGCCCAGGCTCTTTTTCTAGCCCCGGAAACCTCGTGAGCCAGTGCAACCTACTAAGCAGGTTAAAAAGTCAACGGTATGGTTAGAAGTTGAGGAAACGGAGCAGAAGCAAAGAGACAAATCTGGGCCTTTTAACAGGCCACAAGTTCAGAGAGAGCAGCAGGGTGAGGCTGGTGACAACATGGCCTCTGGGAGAGTCCTCTGCTTAAAGCCCAGGGGCCACCTGGTCAGCAGCTCCCCCTTCTGGAACCTCCCACTGAGCTAACGAGGCCAGCCTGACGCTGGCATGGTGTAGAAGGTGAGGGGTGGGAGGCACACAGCCTCTTGCCCACAACAGAGGCCTCCAAGGTAGGTCTTCCTTACCTCCAAATTCTAGAAGACTAGCCTGATTTTATGTTCCTGCAGGGTTATCAGCTTGTGACAAGATGACTCTCTTCTGTTTGGGGCATTAATATTCTTAACATTGGAAATATTTTTATATTACCAACTCCGTAACGGGAGATGTGCAGCTGCTTAAATCTGTCAGAGAGGTGAGTGGGGCTAGCACCTGACAAAGGATAAGCTTGTGGGCTGGGCCCAAGGGTAATCAAATATCTGCTTGGCAAAGCTGCTAGCGGAAGCGAGGGCTCAGACCACAGAGGACACCCAATGAGGGCTTACACAGGACAATGACCTGAGGCTGACACGGGCCAGTTAGGAGCGCTTGTCTGGGAACCGAACAGTAGAGGGCTTCCGGGAAGCAGGGCCTGGGTGAGGGCCACCCTCAGGAGGGAAAGGGCCCAAGGAAACTCTTAGAGAACCATTTATTCGTGCATGCCTTCATTCAGCACACACACACTGACCCCTCTGCGTGCTGGGCGCACACGGGCCAAGCCGGGTCATGGGCCTGGCTGCAGACCCATCAGAGGTGCGGTGTGAGCAGTGCTTCGGGAAAAGTCAGCACAGAAAAGGCACTAAGGATGGGGAAAGGGGTCCCCAGGGACAAAGCCAGGCAGAAGTCTAAGGGCATGTGGGAGGGGGCCCGCCAGCAAGCTGGGCTTGGAGTGGGGAGGTGACCCCGGCATAGTGAATAGCACATGGGCACCTGGCTGGAGGGGAAATGTAGTGTGTCCAGAAACAAGTACTTAAGTCTAGCAGGCGGTGGGGGTGCTGAAGAGTAAGAGGCAGGCGCGCGGCGAGAGACGAAGCTGGACAGGCCGGCAGTGACTGGCCAGAGGAAGCCCTGCAGACGGACGGGATGGCAAGCTAAGGAGTTTCAGAGCTTACTACTCCGGGAATGACGAGGAGACGCCAACCTAGGTAAGGAGGGACAAGACAGAACCACATCCGCATTTCATAATAATCACTCAAGGATTGGAGGGGTTAACCCTGAAGGCACAGACACCGATTAGCAGACTGTACCATGGTCCAGGCCAGAAACAGTGGCCCAGAACCGGCCCAGTGGCGGTGGAGACGGAGGTGGGGATGTACGGATGGTGCGGAGACGTGGACAGAGGCTAGAGCTTTCAAAGGAACAGAATGAGCATGGCTTACTGGGGGGAGATAGAGTGTGGGGCTATGGGTGGGGGGGTGAGTCTAGGATCTTAGCACCACCCACAGAGGTAAG